CTGGGCGCGGCAGAGGGGCTACTGTGACCTGGGCGCGACTCGATGCTCCAGTCGCTCGCTTGGGATGCGCTCTCCTGCACGTTGCGGATCGTCTGGCTTTTACTCTGCTGGTCGCGCTTGACAAACTCGTCGGCAAGGCGCTCGATCTCCATTAGCTTCCGAAACATGTCCTAGCATCGCCAGTGAAGACCACCTCGCTTGGGAGACTTACGGCATGCAGCTCTTTGCGAGCGTCTTCCGACGGCTTGTTCTCGTCGGCACTACGTTCGAACACGTGAGCTCGTTGTCGTAGGCCATGCACGTACGTGAAGATCATGTCCAAGACGGTCTCGCACCACTGAAACTTGGATTGATGGAGGAACCAGTAGAGAATAACCCGCTAGATACACGTCGTTGAGATGTGAGCACGAGGTCGCTTCGTCCTACCTCGAAGCATACTTCGCAAAGCAAGAAGACAACTATGTGCATCTGTGGCTCCTTCCGCCACACTAGGAGGCTACACAGTACACGAGAATAAGAACGAGCCATCAGGAAAACACGTACTGGGTGGACCAGCCCTGCTTGTAGTACTCGGAGACGCCTACGCGGAAGCCCGAGAAGCGAACCGCCATCGACGCGATGCACTGCGCGTGGTTGCAAGCTTCGCAGCTGGAGGAGCTCTTCTCAGCAACGTAGCGCATTCTTGGGCAGTGCTCCAGCGCGTCGACGAGCTTGTCCGACCACGCGTGGAAGCCCCGGACGCTGTCTCGCCGCTGGCGCAGCGCCCGCTCCACCTAGGACAGGGAGATATGTGAGCTGCCGCTCGTATTCTCGTGGCATACCTGCTTCTCGGCCTCGAGAAAGACCTCGTCGCGGTTGTTGGCTTGGAACGTCGGTTTCATCTACGATAGGAGCAAGTAAGAGGTTGTAGAGAGAATGCGACGCACAATGCACTTCTCCAAGTAGTCCATGTAGATGCAAAACCACTCGTAGCGGTCGCGGGACATTGCAGCGTCGGACTCGGCTGACGCTGCAACAAGAGCCTCGGCTGACGCTGCAGCAAGAGCCTCGTCATCATCGGGCTTGAAGCGCATGGCCATCTTTTCCTTCTTCTTCTTGGGTATGGCCCAGTGCCGTTGAATGGGCCCCCGCAAGACTGGCCAAAGCCGGGACGCTGGCTTTTCTTCTTCCGAGTCGACTTCGGTCGCAGGCTTGTCGACGTCCGAGTTCGAGTCGAGGACGTTGCGGGCCTTGCGCTGCGTCGTGCTGCTCGAGTCATCGACGTTGTACTCGGTGACCCGGCGCGGCTTCGCTATGCTCGGCCATCGCTCGGACTTTGAAGCACCC